GGGATATATCGTATCGTGACACCTCTGTCATGATATGTATCGTATCGCCAAATTCTTGCCAATACACAGCCCTAGTTATTAATGAAGTTCGTGTACTCAGACCAGTAATATTTGGGGTCACAAGTTTAAGCCATCGATATTTTGTGGGTCAGAAGATAAAAAGTTTGGGAATCTCTGGTCTAGAAGGTCTTGAACATGGCAAATCACAGTCAATTTAATATATTTCATAACATCACAAAAAGTTTTGATTGAAATGGTTTCTTCTAAGCATGAAATGGTTTGGTTTGACACTGGCAGGGAAGGCAGCAGGGGCTATAATTTTTTTCAGGAATACTGGGCCTTTAATTTATTTATAGTTTCAGTAAAAGAAGATGGTTGACCACAACTTTTATCTTCATAATAAAGTAGGTTACCTTATAACTGATGGTGTACAGCAGTACTCTAACTAGGATTGCCATGTAATATCCAGTCATTCAGTTGACTTTTATAACTTTCTGATGTGTGGATATAAATTCTAAACACAACAGATCTGAGAGGTCCAACATATTGTCCATTTTGGAATTCCAAACTTTTCCAGACTCAAATTTTYAGACATCTAATCCAATTTTGAGTCTTTTTTCACATTAAAACATCTTGAATTTTAGTTTGTTTCTACAAATTTTCTTTCTTTTGTTTTAATCTGTAAACAGGTTTCCTTCACAGCCTTTTGGGGTGTTAGCATGTTCTCCCTGAGCACTCTTTTTTTACGGTTTCTTCACCCAGAAATAACCYCATGCAGGTCAAGAAAAAGTTCTGTGAAAAAGAGTATTTTTTAATTGGATTAAGCAGCTAATGTTGACATTGCAAACAGGGTTACCTCGAAAAAAAAAGTTGCATTTCCTCTTTCAATTTAGAGAAATTTGCAATGCCAGTGGTAACAGATCTAAAACTTGACATTACGGTGATAATGCTCATTTTTTTCGATTAAATTCRACAATGAAATACCTTGTTTGTCAGACCAACTTTTATGACATGCTGATTTTGAGATTCTTAAAATATGCAACTGTAAATAAATTCAGGAAACTTCAATGTKTTATTTTTCATACTTTTTCACAGAAAGGTGCCTTATGCCAATAAGATAAGTTGGAATCCACACCTTATTCTGAGGCAATGGACAGAATAATTTGTGTGGGTTTTGACTGAGAAAATGTMAGTAACATCATCTGTCTCCATAACACTGACATGAAATTCATGCCCAAATCAAACTCTGGAAGTGGTCATTCAACTAGATCTGTTACAAAAGGACAACTGATATTACCAACTTTTAAAAACTGTTACGGCCAGAGGTATTTCTTCTGTGTTTATACTAAAGCATGGAABGACATTCCTCAAAACATAAAGTCCATTTCAAAACTACAGCCCTTTAAGAAGAATCTTGTCTGCCATCTGCTGGACACTTTTTGTTGTGCTCATATTTAGATGTCCTATTTTGCAAATGCTGCCTTTTTGAAATTTGGTATGCTTGTTTGTCTTTGTGTCTATGGTGTATAATGATGTGATTGTGATGCTGTAATTCTGAGTGTTTTATGTGCTGCAGAACAGGAACCTGCTGTAAAACAGCAAWTATGCTGAGTCAGGCTTGATTTTTAATAATCTTTTCCTGTTAAATCAATAAATCAAAATCAAATCAAATCATTTACACATATATGTTGCAGAAATAAAGCCTCCCTACCAGCTTAGAACAGTGGTAGTGAGGTTGTCTTSTGACTGGGATCTAAGTAAAAGTTTGAATCATTTACACTTTTTTGTTTTACTGCACATAAGCACTACAGCTGCTGCTATGTGACAGTCTTCAATAGATTAAAATTAATAAAAAGATAAAACAGGTAAGAGATTAACTGTTCATAATCATACAAACAGATTTAACTTTACAGATCTGAATGTTTAAGTCAAAATATGTAGATAACTGCTGTTTTCATGAATTTGTTCATATCTAAACTACTGCTCAGAAATATATGAATTAAATAACCAACAGYGTAAACTACAGACATAATGAACAGTCGCCTAAAATAAAAGCCAATACTTTCAAAATATTCTACAGTAATTTTACACACAAAAAAGCTTCTTTTGACCAMAYGAGAGGCAGATTCTTGCTGTGAAGAATAATAATTAAAAAACACAGTTCAAATTAGTTGTTGCAGCAGTTGAATAACAGCAGTGAATCCACTAAAATACCACTAATTCCTGAGTCACATACTGTATATTGACACACATTCTCATCTGTGTGATAAACAGGGCAAGCCCTGGGCAGTTTGGTGCCCTWTAGGTAAGACCTTTAGGCAAAATTTCAGGTGACGTCCCTCGTGCATTTTTTTTTAAATCTCACTGACAAAGTATCAGATCCAAGAAGTGTGACTAACTAATGACGCTTATCTAAACTATCAGCAGTCATAAAGTCTCCCATATCAGAGGYTAAAGTACCTGAGGGAGCTGGTAGTTTCAGTCCTCACTGAGGACTCACTCACAGTAAGTTTTTTTCTTCTTCCGCCACTCCCTTTCGTTTCCATCTTGCTACACCGCCTAGYCCCGCCTCTAAACCACCCCTTGTGCAAGGGACTGGGACTTACATGTTCCCCCACGCCGTGTCAGTTCCCGGGGACCTATATAAAAAAAACTTCACTCTTATTTATTTTCTTCCTTACCTCCCCCCTTTTTTTGTAAAAAAAAAAATATTTTAATTTCTGTTCAGGTTACGTCTCGACGGTACTTATTCCCCCCTCCGATCGTATCACCTGTCAGTCTGTAAAGGTAAGGCCATTGAACGACTCACACACACACAGGTGGAAGAGGTGTTTKTACAACAGGTGTCTCGGCCGCTCTGTCCGATTTTTACACCGAGAAACTTCTTCTCACGGGCTCTGTTTTATTCGCTGACGTTATGTATGTGTATAGGAATGAGTAACTTTACGAAGATATATATTAGACGCGTTTTCCCCGTTTATATTCTGCTCGGAAACAGCCGAAACCAGCTGAAACTCAGGTGGAGTCAGCCTGTGTTGCGTTCAGTAGCTTCAGGAAATTTCCACACCGACATTATCACTGGTAGAAATTACAAACGCATTTCGCCATGAATTAATTCTGTGTTGCCCGCGTAAATATACATTTACCAGCCAAAGTTTTCATTTAATATTTGAGCATACGGTGATAGTATTTGCTTTAAATTATTCTACTTTGTATTAGCTGCCCAGAGCGACCAGGCTTTGACTTTTTCTCAGTGAATTACTCTTTTCTTAAAACGTTTCCAATTAAAGGGGTTGTACATTTTATTGACGTAGCTCACCCACACAGCATTTATTGCTTCATTTTAAGTGTATTAAGGCTGCAAACTGATAGTAAACTCAGCATGTTTGATGAAAATGTAAAGTGTTTTCCAAAAGCTATAAAAGGATCAGCCCTSCTGTCTGTGCTGCCTGCTTGCCATCACGTTGCATAACATCACCTGATGTTACAGGGGGACAAAAAGGTGTGTGGAGTTGATTTTTAATCCACAAGCATGACGTGTCTTAAGACACATTTTTACAGACATGCATGTTGTTGTGAAACGTCCAACCTACTCGTCAATTTTGAGATTCGCTCAATAAGATATGTTTTTTTTTTTTTTGTGGTATGGCTTCAACTCTGAAGGCTGTCTGTGTCATGAGATGAGTCTTCACCCAAAGCCAACACCTATTATACACGATGAAAGGATAAACCCACCTCAGCTGACATGCATACCACYGCAGAGCACCTGTTCACTCAAATTCTAACCCAGAAAAAGACCGTCTTTATAGACAAAGTAAGAGGAGACATGATTATCACCATTCACCTTTTGTACCGAATAGCTGCTTTCACTTGTTTTAGCTCAGTTTCCAGCCACTCCTCATGGTCATCGCTGCTCCAGGATTTGCAGCACATTACGTTAATGAGATGCTGTTACCGGAAACCTACTGGAAACTTTTGTCTCGCTACCCTCCTGTAAAAGTTTATTTGGTGTTACAACGCTTAACTCTGACTTAGATAAAGCCTGTCGGACCTGTTCTTATGTTTTGGCAGTTGTGCTGAGACATGCAGTTGTTTAAGAAAAAAAATCCTGTGACACACGAAGACTGAGCTGCTTGTCTCGACCAGGACACGCTTGTAAATGAGGTTTTAAATCCGAAGGTTTTTTTTTTTTTGTCTCGACCAGGACACGCTTGTAAATGAGGTTTTAAATCCGAAGGTTTTTTTTTTTTCTGGTATCAAAACGATTAAATAAAATACCACATATAGAGTCATGACATTAGAAAGTGTATGAGCTCAAAACTTTTGTAGTTGTTAACTTTGAGCTCCTGTTTTCTTCATTTCCAGGCTTTATTGGCTTTTACAYTGATCTTGGCTCTGTGTAGTCCTTCTGCAATGCTGGTGGAGCTTTAAAAGATAAGAGCATAAGAAACTAAGAGACCATGTTGTCATAATAAACATTATTTCATGTGCCCTGGCATGGGAAAGTAAAGTGCATTTTTTTCTCCTCACAGCTCTTTCAATTATTTATTTTTTGGACAAATTTAAACCTGAAATTTATTTAAAAATGGAGTGTTGGACACATTGTCTTTAAAACATTTTTTTGCAGTGTGGTTTCGTGGAAGTGTCACGAATAATTAATACCTTACCTGTTACAGATAGCTCATTCAGCAACATTAGTCTGGATAAATGGTTTAATTCTGACTGGATTAACAAGCTAATGAATAACCTGAACAGGTYCAAGACTAAAGCGGATCGTTGTCATCTTTAAATGACTCCCTTTTCAAAAACATCACAGTCATTCAAGTGAACATTATTTTTATACTTTTCCCGGTACCTACAGTTTTACATCACCCAATTATTTACATAGTTCTTTGCTTCCAAGCTCATAATTACCAGAAGCTAACTAAAAAAATTAGAGGCAGAGTAAATATTTATAAAATAGTGTTTACATGAACCGCTCTAAGAGATTGGCRTTTTAAGCCGGCATTCCACTTTGGTCTGGCAACACTCAGACTAGGCATTAGCTCATCAGTCCAGTCAGAAGTAAACTCTGTTTAACTCAAAGATCTATCTGCAACAGGTAAGATGCCATTATGTCATACCCTTTCCATAGAACCTCATTTCAAAAGATTTGAACTTTGCTTTTAAACATTTATGGAGTCTTAACTCGCACATACCACTGGCATATTTCTATTGCTTACATTGATAAGCTGCCTTTTGTCTTTTTGTTGTCATGTTGGATTACATTATCAGGGTTTAACCTTTTGAAAGGATTTTCTGCTGACGTTTCTGCTCAACCTTTTACACTTTGAGCAGGTTAAGAATGTGCCCCTTGGATTTTTTTTCCACCAATGGCAAATCAAATATGAATTCAAAGCTAATATGATCTTTGTGCCCATTTGTCCATATTATGCTGATTTTTTTTCTTAATGTTAACTTTTATTAACATGACCTAAGCCTGAAAAGATGCAAGGCAAAACAACTTGAGTTGACTTAAAAATCCAATCTGCCCTTTCATACACTGATACAATGAGCTGAAAGCAAAACCAGCCAACATGGTTTCCGCACGTCAAGGTCAACCATGTCTGCATTAATTTTTTTTCACTGAACTAATACGTGCTGCTTTGAACAAAGGTCAAGTAAGTGGTGCTGTATATATGGATTTTCGTAAAGCGTTTGACACAGTTGATCATTATACTCTCTTATAAAAGTTGATTTCTTTTCAACTTTCATCATCTGCAAACACAGGTTTTCCTCTTATTTGACAGATAGGTGTCAGGTTGTGAAACATGGAAGCTCTGTGTCCGGGTCTCTGTCCTGTTCCGCAGGGTAGCATACTGGGCCCATTGCTTTTCCTATTATACATAAATGACCTTCCAAAAATATTGAMGTATTCAAATATTTTAATGTATGCTGATGATACTGTTCTTTTTTTGGTCTGATTTCAATATTGAATCTACAGTATTAATAGTCAGTTACAAGCAGATCTTCAGACATTTCATGGTTGGCTTCAAGATAATCTTTTGTTATTTAATGTTAAAAAAAACTGTGTGCATGTATTTTTCCTCCCCCAGGAGACATTTCAATATAACAAATCAACTCACTTTTTTAAACAAACCCCTTGATATTGTCACTACCTACAAATATCTTGGAATTACTTTGGATTCTCATTTGACTYATCGTGATTATGTACAAGTCTTAACCACTAAGTTGAAACAGAAATTATACGTTTATTCAAAAATTAGATCCAATCTGACATCTTCTGTTTCAAATATCTATCTTCATGCCATTATACTCTCAACCATGTCGTACTGTTTACCTGTTTGGTCTCTTACAACAAATGAAATCTTAGAAMCCATAGTTAGGCTCTACAACAGGGCCTACAAAATTCATAAAAAACTTCCTGGTTGGACTCATCACTGTATAGTTCTTTCACTGTCTGATGCCTTGACTTTTCAGAATGATGTTTTGTATAGTGGTATTAATTTATATTTTCAGATCCAAGGTGCCAATTATGGAACTCTGTGCATTGCTGCCCAAATCAAATTCTGGAAGTGGTCATTCAACTAGATCTGTTACAAAAGGACAACTGATATTACCAACTTTTAAAAACTGTTACGGCCAGAGGTCTTTCTTCTATTTTTATACTAAAGCATGGAATGACATTCCTCAAAACATAAAGTCCATTTCAAAACTACAGCCCTTTAAGAAGAATCTTGTCTGCCATCTTCTGGACACTTTTTGTTGTGCTCATATTTAGACGTCCTATTTTGCAAATACTGCCTTTTGAAATTTGGTATGCTTGTTTGTCTTTGTGTCTATGGTGTAATAATAATGATGTGATTGTGATGCTGTAATTCTGAGTGTTTTATGTGCTGCAGAACAGGAACCTGCTGTAAAACAGCAATTATGCTGAGTCAGGCTTAATTTTTAATCATCTTTTCCTGTTAAATAAATAAATCAAATCAAATCAAATCAATCATCCTGCTGTGTCAAATCAAGACAGTTACGTCATAAATGCAGTATGTGTCCATAGGTGAATAAAGAAATTATGTCCGAGGCAGTCTTGGACCTGTTCAGATTATTCATTAGCTTTTTGCAGATTACAAAAAAACAAAACAAACAACAAAAAATAAACATCCTGCTCTGTTTGGCTTTAACAGATGTAACAGTTTTAGACATTTTCTCTGTGAAAGCTGAAGTAATGGTTGCTAAAATGTTGTAATTTGCTTTGTTGTTCTTGTTCAGTAACTAAGTGATTCAGCTGGGAACACAGTGTTTATGGTTACCGATCTGAACATCTCTGCAGCGACTCAATATGTAGTTGAGCTGTGATTGTGAAGGAGTTCAGTGGGTCTTTGTAGAAGTGGGAAAGGATATGTCAGTGGATTCAGGTCACTTTCATTTTTTTTATTCCTTATGTTTCTTTTCAAAGTTTCTCTGGTGAGTTTCATGTTAGAGGAAAGATCCTTCTCCAAAGGACATATAAACTTACAAATATCACTATTTGCATATGGTGCATTAATAGTGTAAATCTATGGAAATATAATTGTGTGAAATTTGACTGACTGATRATAATGATGAGGAAGATGATGCATTGTTTTTTTTACGTATTTTGATGTTTTTCACAGCAGGTTTTGCTGGAAAGCTTTCAGCTTGACTATAAAGCTTTATGCAAAACAGATTTTATTATTATTTTTATAGTGGAATATTGTATTCTGGGTTGAACAGTCGAATGGCGGTTAGCGCTGTCGCCTCACAGCCACAAGGTCGCAGGTTTCACTCCTGGCCTTTCTGTGTGGAGTTAGCATGTTCTCGCTGTGCACACATGGGTTTTCTCTGTGCACTCTGGTTTCTTCCCATAGACCAAAAACAGGCATGTTGGGATAATGTAACTCTTAATTTGTCTCTAGGTGTGAATAGAAGTTTCGTCTCTCTTCCTTTGGATGACCTTATAACCTGTACAGGGTGTACTCCACCTCACTATGGTGACACATGGAGACAGGCCCCAGGAGGAGCGGGTAAAGAATATGGATGGATAACGTTTCCCGCACATACAGCTACAAAACYTTTTAATAATCTCTCATCTCACGTCCTGTTTTTGTGTAGACAAGGTAGCTGAAGTGCTAAGCTAACGTTGGCGTGCTCCTCTGTTTTGATGACTAGTGGTTGCACATTTCCTGGTTGAAGTTGGTAATGTGCTGACAAAATTTACTAAAGTTGTGCTTACATTCACATGTTGCAGTTACATTGTATGTTTAAGGTTTGATATTTACATCATTTTCAACATGAGTCCAACATGGTTCAGTATTTCAATTAAGAAGTTCTGCAGTTTTTCATCTCCACTTTGTCCTCATCGATCGATCATTTACTCTTTCCTTTTCCCTTACTTTTCGTCTAGATGCTGCTGTCACTGTGTGCAGGGTAACCAGACACTATTGTCAGTAATCTAAGTCATGACGCAGCACAGTCCTTGGTGGACAGTGGTTGRTTTCTATGGTTTCCATCAACAGTCTGGGCCTTCAAGTGTTCATTAGGTTAACATTCGGACCGTGCTGGTCCGGTCGGAGCGGTGGCCGTCTCCGGTCCTGTCTGTAAGAGCTGTTTGCAGAGGGAAACAGGTGGCTGATGCATTTTATACTTAAACATTGTGCTGAAACTTCAAAAAGCTGTCTTTGTGTTGGCCATGGTTTTGTGGAGAACTTCATTACCACAACTACTTGTGTAGTTGTTTGTAATTTTGTCAGCAGACTCCCCCAAYGTAACGGCAAAAGACAGCAAAGTTAGTTGTTGAGCATTAGAATAACAAAAAAATTATTGATAACTCGTCAAAAAGAGTTTTTTTTTAGCATTGAGTTATAACTCAAAGAATGAGCATGAATTAGAGGCATATTGGTGCTGGCTATACAGACATAATGACTCTTTGTGCTTGTGTTCGTGAATAGAGGTTGAAARTGACGTTGGTACTACCCACTCCATGTCTGTGACAATTGTGTGAAGAAATGGAAAGGTTTTATCTCAGGAAGCAGAGGGTGAAACTATTGAGAGTAAAAAAAACATATCTGTACTAACACTGGAGCATTTTTGTGGTTAGTTTTAGTGTTTGGCTGTTTTCTCTTGTTATAAAAGAGGACTGATCAAAGATGGGGCCAGAGTGAAACTCTCTCAGTGATAGGCTGAAACTCTCTTAGTGATAGGGATTAAAAGACAAGATAAAAGCTTTTTGTCAGGGTTTAGGTGATGTCAGATGAACTGAAAGGATCATCTGACACAGTGAGCTGTTATGATGCTGCTTCTCTGTTCTTCAGGAGAACCCCCCCCCCCCCMCACACACACACACACACAAATAAAAGTCTGTTTTATCAATATAGCAACTTTCTATTTATATTATCTCATGAGTATTGGTTCTATAAAATGTATAATACTGTGTGACTTCTATTTAACAAGTAATGCTAATATAATAATTAGGGCTGGGCGGTATGACCTCAATTTCATATCAGGGTATAAATTGAACCTCTTCACGGTAACGGTATATATCACGGTAGAAAACTATCATGAAAAGTAAAGATAATGTAATTTTTAGAGCTTTTTTTTTTTTTTTTTTGCAGAAAACTAATCTTAATCAAACCCAGCATTTTTGCTTTAATATCAGCCTGCCATACAATGAGCTTCTGCCTGCTGAACTTATAAGCTGCTGTTCTACTGCGAGCTCATCTTCATCATCAGAGCAGAAGCCGACTTTACATTAGCAAGTTGGATTTATGACTGAACGAACATCCAGGTCTTTTTTTATCATCTTTGTGGTGGGTAACAATACATAAAAAACAAGTTTTTTCTCTGACAACTTGGGGGTGAAAAAATGGTTGTTGTTAAAGCTTTGCTCTGCGCCACGTGGAGGGAGGGAGGAAATGATCCCGACGTAACTTTTCTACAGCAGGAGGAGGAAATTTTGAGGATTTATTCTCACTATACATGTTTTAAAACGCTAAAATTTCTTCTTTATATTTCAAACTCCTCCTGCTCAGTTGTCTCTGCACTCGCAGCCCTGCTGACAGATGCGATGAGGTAATGACGATATGACAGTAGAGGATAAATTTCTACCGTAGGCCAACTTCAGACCGTTTCTACCCTCTACCGCATACACCGCACAGCCCTAATAATGATTTTTTTATTCTGACAATATTATGTATTTGTTCTAAAGTGGTAATGAGGTTTGTTTTATAAACACTGTGCCTCTTTAAATAAGTACATAAGATGGTAAATGTGAACATTACCCATTTATTAATTAGATTTTTTTTATCGTTACAGCCATGTCGCTACCATCATCTCTGCTGCTTCTCCTTGGACTCATCACCTGGAGTCCCAGCTCAACGTGGGGCGCTAAAGTGATTGTGGTCCCACCCATTATGTTTGAGTCTCACCTCTACATCTTCAAGACGCTGGCGACAGCTCTACTCCAAGAGGGCCAYGAGAGCCATTTTCTAGTCTCAGAGGGTCGTGAGGTCCCCCCCTCTCCTCACTACCATTTGCAGCGCTACCCAGGGATCTTTAACAGCAGCACAGCTGACAACTTCCTCCAATCGAAAGTCAGCAACATCTTCTCAGGCCGCCTGACATTTCTGGAACTATTTGACATTCTTGACCACTATTCTCAGAACTGTGATGCGGTTGTTGGCAATGTTGAAGTCATGAACCGCCTGAAAGAAGCCAAGTTTGACCTGCTGCTAGTGGACCCCAATGAAATGTGTGGCTTTGTGATCGCTCACATCCTCAATGTGCAATACGCTGTGTTCAGCACAGGCCTGTGGTACCCCGCAGAAGTCGGAGCCCCAGCGCCGTTATCATATGTGCCCGAGTTCAACTCTCTGCTGACAGACCGCATGTCTTTAATGGAGAGGATTGCGAACACAGCCGTTTACCTGGTGCAGCGGTTTGGTGTCCATTTCATTGTGTTGCCCAAATATGACCGGATTATGAAGAAACACGGAGTAAAGCCTCAGGTGGCCATGGCCGACTTGGTGCAGGGGAGCCGGCTGTGGATGCTGTGCACCGACRTGGCTCTGGAGTTCCCAAGGCCTACCCTTCCTCATGTGGTCTACATAGGAGGCATCCTCACCAAGCCCCCCAGCCCTCTACCACAGGTCAGTACCAAGATCTGATCAGGCAGATAAATGGTGGTGTTGTGCCTGCATGGTGCCACTCAAAGGAGGTTGCGTGTCCTAAGTAAAACACCCATTGCTCCTGAAGGTGATGATGGTGTTACACTTAAAGCATTCAAAATCTAATAGAGTGATCTGATGAATATTCTTTTATATTTTATCACAGTAATAAATGTTCAAGACAATTATGAAGTCAAATTGATTCTATGCTGTTAGTAGAGGTAGACAAATTGGTCAGTCAGCCATTAAATTAGAACTATTTTTGTTTTTACCTCTTTTAAAGTAATTATGCCTGGGCATAGGTCTGTGAGCAGCACTTTCTTTTTTTCTTTTTTAAAATTTAAATTTGCTATAAATTTCATTGTGTATTACTACTAATGTTCAATTTGTAGGTCAAAAACTGCCGCATAAATAAGCCATTGGCTGCCCTCATTAAAGAAAAAAAAATCTGCATTAGCAATTTAAAACTGACTGGTCAACTTCTAGCCTTTATGCAGTCATGGGTTTAGAGTCAAATTGGTTTTTTTTTTACCTTTCACCCACTTGAAAGGTTTGTGAATCATTTATTGTTTGTGCATTATTTAAACTCACTCACCCAGACTCAAGGATATTTAAATAAAGAGCAGGAATAGGAATCACRTTTTTTTCTATCTAAAAAAGAAACTGTTTTATTTTATGGGCTTTTCTCTCAAGTAAGGTCAAATTTAAAGGCTGTGATGACTGTTAGAAAGTGTCAGATTGCTATGTGAATAAGATGCTAAACATCACGTAATGATTATGAGTGATTAGCAGAATAGTTCATTTCCAACGGTTAATAACATGTCTGCTTTCTCAACTCTTCATATTGTTCCTTTTTGTACTTGTTCAAAATTTGCAATTGCAATTATCACATCCTGCAACAAAGCAGCCCTTTCTAGTTGATGCTAAAGCTAGGATAGGTTTGAACTGAAGGAATAAGCGTGTACAGAAAATGGATGGATGGATGAATGGATATTTTAAACTCTGAGTGGACGGGGTGGAGAGCTATGGAGAGCAGAGGCGGGCAGTGAAGGGTTGTTAGTCCAGCTTTTGGACACTGAGGGCGCGGGCCGTCGGTATCTGCTGCTGGGGGTTGTAGGAATGCCACTCAAGCAAATAGGAAGCATTGTGCTGTGCTGTGTGGAGGGAGTTATAATGGCTGTGGAGGGAGAACGCAGCCATTGTTCTGTGCAGAGCTCAGGGGACACTGGGACTCTTTTTATGGGGTCACTAAGGCTGTGTTGTAGGGATAGCAGGGCTATGCTGCAGGGACACAGAGCCCAGTGTGCCCATGAGGTTGCTCCGTGCCAGCGCCAAACCGTAGCTGCTGCAGCTGGACCATCGGCCTCCCTCCCTCTACTTGTTCTGTGCTCATGTCACTTCAACATGGCTGCTCCCTGATCACTTTACAACTGCTTAACAAATGGAAATAGGTATTTCACTACTTGCACACTCATTCAAACTATTCATTCTGCAAAACAAAACATATTTTGACTTTCTTTTTCTTCTAAATTAAAAAGGGAAGGCTTTGTCAACTTCAGAAAAGACGAGCTCAGTTCTGAGAAACAGGTTTCCTCAGAAACGTGRATCACTTCTTTAAATGAAGTCCCATTAGAATCACTCTGCTGCTTCCAGGAACATCCTTCCTTTGAGCTGCTGTTCTCAATTAGATCACTCCATCTCAGTCCGTTATTTAACATGAGTTATAATCATAGGATGCCTGCAAATCATTTTTGTGATTTACAACAAAGAAAAACAAGACAGAGGTTTACAAACTCGTACAGAACACATTGAAAAAAAGTGAATCAGTGATGTTTGTTGGTGACATTTTGAAAGTGTCAACAAAAATGATCTGCCTGAAATAGGAAAACAAAAATGCCCCAAGGATTTAAAACTAATTAGAAAAACCTAATTGAAGTGACACCAGATCATTATTATAGTTGTGTTTAAAAACAATGTTCCAGAGAGGTTTTCAGGCATAAATAAATATTAGGAATTTTTTCTTTTTTTTTTACTCTGTAAAAAGACAGGGAAATTTGTGTCCTTGTGGGTTTTATATACTACAGTGCACAAAATCACCGTGTGTTTTGGTTTTATTGGAAACATTTGTAAATCATTACAGTCTTARTTGTTGCTTTAACACAGACAACCTTTTTCAACAAACTGATGGTATTCTGAGTTTCTGGTGCCAGTTTGTTTAACCTGACCTTTACTGATGAAACAATACTGGTAATCCTTTTAAAAATGGTCAAAATCTGGTTCTGAAAACTGCTAACTTTAATGTTCACAGAGTAATAAACCTCTGCTGTTTTAGATTTTTGTATTTAGTAAATGTAATGAAGACATTTTTTCAGTGKTTTTTTTAAAAAGCAATTGTTTCTACACATGAAACAGACTATTAGTTGTTGTATTTCTATTAGACTAATCTTTCCATTTTGTTTGCTTATGATTTGATTGATTTGTTTAACAAGGTACAGTTTTATTTAAAATAGAGATGATATTCCAATGAGTCATATGCTTTGGGATGCTGGTGCCCATATCCAGTATGCACTGTGCGAGGGGCGGGCTACATCCTGGACAGGTCGCAGGTCCATCACAGGGCCACACATAGAGACAAACGAGACAGACAACAATTCACTCACTCACACCTAAGAACAATTTAGAGTTACCAATGAACCTAACAGTCATGTTTTTGGTGTGTGGGAGGAAGCCGAAGAGAACCCACGCATGCACGGAGAGAACATGCAAACTCCACCCGGAAAGGTCCCGGTGCCGGGATTTGATCCAGTGACCTTCCTGCTATTTTGTAGTGAATTAAATTATTTTCCCCAATTTTTAATGGATCACTGACTGTGCACATGTATTCATGGTAGTGAAGCTGTAGATCACCCGTAGTTGTAGTTTCCACTTYGTGATTCTTTCAAAATAAAACTGCTATGAAGGAAACAGATGTGGATAATTTGGCATTTAGCAGGTGTTAAATAAACCACACCCCCGCTGTGTGGTAGCGAACCATGGTTGTTGGGGAAGCAACTGTTTAAATCAGTTAAAACACGAGTGTGAAGAAAAGTCTATYCGAAAATTTACTTCATCTCCTGTGCTTTCTCCTCTTCCTGCAGGATTTTGAGTTGTGGGTTAGAGACACCACAGAGCACGGCTTTGTGGTCGTGTCRTTCGGAGCTGGAGTCAAGTACCTCTCGCAGGACATTGCTCACAAACTGGCAGGAGCGCTCGCCAGGCTGCCCCAGCGTGTCATCTGGAGGTAAACCTCACACATGCACTGAGCTGAACAAAGTAAATCAGGAAATACTCAGCGCTCAGTCTCACATGACTTGGATCCCAATAAACGGTTGTACTGCAAACAAAGAACGTGGCAAAATAAAGGGAATTGTTTGCTTTCAAATCAGTCAGCCACTGTCACTTTAATTCTTAGTCATTTAGTTTTTAGTTGAAGTGTGTTTTTATTGTCATTTGTTTAATTTTGTGTTTTTAATGTGGTAAAGTGTCCTTGGGTGTCCTGAAAGGCATTAAAAGTTTAAATATTTTATTATTCTGAATATAATTATTATTATCACCCTTATCATAAATTCAAAGAAGGCAAAACCCAAAAATTTCTTAAAAATAGAAAAGAATGAGAGTTCTTRTTGCACAATATTTTCGAACATTATCTTTGAACCAGTTAATATTTAACYTTTTTATCTTGGCATATTTAAAACCAGGTGAGTCATTAACTACAATGACCCACATTGTTTTTGAGTCATTCTAGTAGCATGTGTGATGTAGAATTTTATTTATTCATACAGAAATCGGTTAGGGTTGCATCATGACTTTTTATTAAAAAAGAACTCTAAAAATAAACCAGTTGCTGTGTAAAAGTTTTGGTCAATTCCWGTTTCACGTGCAGCAGAAATCAAAGCTCTGACTGGAGAACATGAGACCTGATTTCTATATAATGTAGTTTGTTTACAGACAAAAACACTTTATATGTGATGTCATCACTAACCGAAAAGGTCAGCAGACTCTGTACTTTTTATCATTCCTTGTAAAGTTTCAGAATCCACATTAAGCATTTAAATTTAAATTTAAAATGTGTTGTTAAGGATGAGGTGAAAATTTAGTGTTTTTTCTTCTTCTATTGTTTCTGTTTTAAACACAAACACTTTTTAAAGGATCAACTCTTAGTAGCAGTATTGACAAAACTTTGGTGTGCCTCATCCTCGTGTTTACCTTTAAATGATTCTGAGCGTCTGTGTCGCTGTTTCTTCAGAGTCTGCTTATGATACAGAACAAACAAAAAGTTTAAAAAAATCAAGACAATCAAAAGGAAAACACAGTTCAGTTGTCCATTTTTGCTCTCACATCATTTTTTGCTCTGTTTATTAAAAATAAATAAAAGGCTGTAATTAAAAACAGAACACAGTCATTTACAAACTTTTTAAATCCATATCTAATCTAAAACAGAATAATAAAAACATTAATACTTGCTAAAAGCAATAAATAAAATAATTTTTGACAAGGATTTATTTTTAACTGAGGAAAATGTATGTTTCTTTCTTGGTTTTAGTCCATTTACTATATTCAAAGCTGTAGAAGCATGATTTTACATACACAATTTACTGGTTGCTCTGAGATGTTTCACGAGCTATTTAATTAAACAATAAATAACAGATACAGCAGAGACGATATGATTTAATTCCCAGTTTAATCATTTAGTAAGTTGTCTATAAACTAACTTCAATAAGATTTCGAGCTTGGATTACTTGCAAATAATTCACTTGTCTTAATCTAAATATTTCAAACCAAACTCCAGTTTCTTTGGAAAGTGGACTGTATTGCCGTATTAAAGAAACACTGACATTGGTCATATAGCAGGGAGGGTTAGTTAATTGATTGCCATAAAGTCGAAACAGATACGACAGTTTTATGGTGACCAAAAAGAGAAATACCACAGCTTAATGRAATATGAAACTTTTTATTGCAAGAACAACTAACTGTTCCCATGGTGAGCCTGTTTACTCAGTAAATCCTCATGTTGACACATTGTTCAGATAGGTCGTTATCAAAAACGAGGGTAGTTTATGTGTGATGACTTCTTTCTTTACATTTTTTATTATTAAATATGTGATATGACGAAGAGGAAGCCAGGGCTTGATTTAATAGCCGTTACTGTTGTACAGAATCTGCTTTATAAATCTGTGCCCCGAACCGCAGGTCAACTGATGCACTTATCAAAATCTTGAAGCTGGAGGCGACGGTCACTTTGTAGACCCATGACTTTAAATGGTAATCTGGTTTGCAGTAGTTCCACAAAACTTGGAGAACAGAAGAGGAAGAGGGCTGATGGGAGGGACGGGGACGGAGCCAAATGAATTGTGTCATTAATACCTCAATGAATGTAGGCTTTGATTGGTGGGACAATGAAGCAAGGCTTTGTTGACTACAGATWAAAAGAGCTGGGGATGGGCAGGGAATCAGACGCGGATGGACAGATGGAGGTTGTTGTGTAGCATGAATATGCATCGGGAGCGGAAGTGCTTCTCTCCCACACACACAGCGACAGTACATACACGGTGATGACGGTGACGAGTCTGACTCCGGGTCACCCAGTTCCTTCTTTTTTTTTTTTTTTTGAGACATGAGTAGCTCCAGACCAATTTGTCATTCCGTCGAATTGTTCCTCTGCAGCTTTGGTATCCAAAAAGTCTGCCGCTTTGCTTTCTCCTCAGTCTGCTCTGTACAYTTTTGTCTTTGTTAGCAGCAGCACCACTGATTTAATCTACTCGAGGACACTTTAGGTTTTTGGTTCAGGCTTTTAGCTCCCATCAAGTGCTGGGCGTGATAGGCTCTGAAGACGGTGACAGGTGTGGAGTTTGACTTGGCCGGCGGCACACTTGTCAAACAGTGCAGGTGTCCTCAAGTGACCTCAAGCAGGGAAGAAACCTCTCATTTGAGTAGAAGATAAAAGTTTCATACAGCAGCTGAGAGACTGCAGGAGTTAGAAGGATATATTGTAAATGAATTCACATCATTATAGGATTAACCATCCATTGTTTGCTGGAGCGTGTGTTTTCTTACATCATAAATATTTGTTACAAACTTAAGTGCATTACGCTTTTGGTACAATGCTGGCTATAAATAAAAGCACAGCTTGAGCCTGTGTTGGGTATTCTGCATGCATTATTGTCTGCAGGATTGTATACAAACAAGGTCACGTGTGCGAAGTGATTCAACAGTATTCTTTGCTTGAGAATAAAAAAAAGTCGTTCTGCTCTTCTTCGATCAAACATTTTTGGGAGTGTTTGATAAACTGTGTCAGTTCTCTTTGGTCCTCTCTCTTCATTGTTTTCTTCTCGTTCCTCAGATTCTCCGGCATTGCCCCCAGTAATCTTGGGAACAACACCAAGCTTGTTGACTGGATGCCTCAAAATGATTTATTGGGTGAGGACATCACTGGTTGTGTCTGTCACAGTGTACTTCTTTTATCGACAACCATCTTTTATTTCATTTGTACGTCTGCTTCAAAGCAAAATGGATGTTTGTTGTTTTGCTTTGTTTTTACAAAACAGTTTTCTTGTTGTTGTGACATGCAATGTTTTGTTTGCCAGAAGTACAAAACTAAAGAAATATTTTTTATTTGTAATGTAAAAGTTTGTGAAGATGGAACAGTATTTTAAATCAAGTCTTTCTTGCTGATCCATACAGACTGACAACCAAACTTTCAAAAAAAATCACATAAAACAAAAGTGTGTTTATGATATTGCATCAAGACTTACTTTAGTGTATTCCTTTAAAAAAATAGCAGAAAGATTTGGTGATCGCTTAGATTGCATTATGACATATTTTGATTTTTTTTCCCTGTGGGAAGAACACCATCTTTAAACTTTGCGCGATTTTGTTGGGGACTGGGRATTTGCCACAAAAATCTGGAATGATATTTAATGGGTAATGCTTTCTTTTATGGTACCCTTATTATCATGTAATTACAAGGTAATAAAATGTAATTAAATGTAATTACTACCTTATTACCATATAATTACCTTGTAATTAGGGTACAGTTTTACTATGTAATTAATTGTCTGCAGTGATGTAGCACTTACCTGATAATGTATTACAATTCACTATGTAACACCTAAATAAGTAGTAGGTAATTTGGACAGTTTTAAAGTTGTATTTAATTGCAATTAACCACTAACCACAAAATTTGGTTGCATTATTTTGGTTATATAGTGTTGAGTTACTATTGAATAGTAATTTGATTGTAGTTACCCAATAAAGGTAGTTTTACTAACAGAGTTTTTCTTTTGTACCCTAATTACCTTGTAATTACATGGTAATAAGGGTACCGTAAAAGAAAGCGTTAACAGTTAATGAAGCTAACCCAGCTAAAGTTTCTGAGCAATGGTTAGTAATAAACAAAAAGACTTCATATGCATATAAACTTCCCAATACCTCTTGTNGGGTAACGCTTTCTTTTATGGTACCCTTATTACCATGTAATTACAAGGTAATAAAATGTAATTAAATGTAATTACTACCTTATTACCATATAATTACCTTGTAATTAGGGTACAATTTTACTATGTAATTAATTGTCTGCAGTGATGTAGCACTTACCTGGTAATGTATTACAATTCACTATGTAACACCTAAAAAGGTAAATAGGTAATTTGGACAGTTTTAAAGTTGTATTTAATTGCAATTAACCACTAACCACAAAATTTAGTTGCATTCTTTTGTTTATAAATATAGTGTTGAGTTACTTTTGAATAGTAATTTGATTTTATTTACCCAATAAAGGTAGTTTTACTAACAGGAGTTTTTCTTTTTTACCCTAATTACCTTGTAATTACATGGTAATAAGGGTACCATAAAAGAAAATGTTACCAGTTAATGAAGCTAACCCAGCTAAAGKTTCTGAGCAATGGTTAGTAATAAACAAAAAGACTTCATATGCATATAAACTTCCCAATACCTCTTGTCATGTAGGCCAYGCTAACACAAGGGCTTTTCTGAGCCACGGGGGCCTGAACAGCATCTACGAGGCCATGTATCATGGAGTACCAGTGGTGGGTGTGCCCCTTTTTGGAGACCATTACGATACTATGACTCGTGTTGCAGCCAAAGGGATGGGTATCATGCTGCACTGGAAGTACATGACAGAGGACGATCTCTTTAAAGCTCTGACCAGCGTCATCGAAGACACCAGGTAAGATTTGTTTAAATCTTCCTTGCAAATCACAGACTCACACTTTGTWTATCTGTGAAACCTTTTCCTGTGCCTTTTAGTTTGTCCGTAAAACTCAAATGTTAACTGTTGAACGTATTATGTCTGTTTTAACTACTTCTTTTTGTGTGTTTTTTTTTTATTTACATCTAGGTATCGCCAGCAGGCACATCTTCTCTCCAGCATTCACAAAGATCAGCCAGGCCACCCTGTGACCAGGGCTGCCTACTGGATCAGTTACATCCTCCGTCACAACGGTGCCAATCACCTGCGCTCGGCGGTGTACAACGTGTCCGTCTATCAGTACTTTCTACTGGATGTGGTTTTCACTCTAGCAGCTGGCCTTGCTCTCRCAGGCTTTTTGCTGAGCAGGTTGGTGCGATTGCTTAAAGGGAAGCATAGCAGAGGAGGCGCTACCAGGGATGATGGTACCTTGACCAACGGACACTGCCATAGTGGGAGCCTTGCCAACGGGAAGCACAAACGCAACGGCTCCTTAAAAAGCGAGAAGAAGCTGAATTAACGGTTTACTGGCAAAGCGAAGACGAAGGTGCCCCGAGGACTCGTTCACTAGGTTTGTTTCATCGCTTTAACGAAAGCTTGGAGGGGAGGAAAAAAAAAAAGAAGCTGTTTTTAGGTCTGCGTCAGGAGGCGACTGCCACTCAGATGGAGTGTGAGGCTGTGGGGAGGATAACACTACGCATCGAGTGGAGACAGAGCAAGGCATCGGGTGCTCAAAATCTGTGTGTATGTGTGTGTGTTTAGGTGAATGTTTAAGTGTGCAAAAAGGCAAATTTAACAACAAAACAAAACTGTAACAGCAACTACAGCAYGACACTGGAAAAGACACGTTAGAGGACGCTGTTTCTGTACGAGCATCATCTCCTTCGAGTTCTCTGCTGTCTTCCTGCCCTTCTCACCTGTAGAAGGATGATGAAAAAAAAAAAAAGGAGTCGGGTGAGGAGGATCCTGAGCGCCAACCATTCATCCTCAGAACAAAACATCCAGCAGCTTTGGAMATACTTAGAATTTAATGCTTTAAACTGCAAACTCCAAGTGTCTGGTAAACTGTAAATACAAGATAAATCTATTTATTGCTGCTCAGAAGCTTTTTAATGACACCTTTTTAGCTTTATCTCTTGTTTTTAATTTATTTCATGCATCAGAGGTGTGACTGTGTGATCGTAGACTTGCACTTCATACTCTAAACTCACATCCGCACTGTTGCTCTTTATAATTAAAACAAATACAGATGACAACAGTCATTCTAAGCGTGTCCTGAAGCCCTGTGCTTTCTGCTCTAGGATAATCTGCAGTATTTACTGCGGTAATCAGACTCATCAGTGTGAAAACAAACCATTTTCTCTTTTTACATGGTAGTGCCAACTTGTGATAGCCTTTAGGAGTGTGGCACTGTCATTGTATCCTTATTGGCCTTTGTTCTGGTAGAGAATAACTCTACTGTCTGGCGTCTGTGTGAAAAGGTGATCACGTTAATATGAGAAATACAGTAATTAAATGCACAAAAGGATAATAAAGAGGGGAAATGTGTTTAAGYCCAGCTTAAAAAAAACTGATGGAGAATGAGTCATAACATAACTTTTTGTTGATTAGTTTGCATTCCTAGTAAAATTTCATAGCTTGGATGCCATTTTAAATGCTGCACTTAACTTTGTCCAGCTTTTTTTCATTTCACATTTAGTTGTTTATTATTTCTTAATAATTCTAACTTGCGTTGCGAATGTTTGTTCTAAATTTTACTGTTCGTGTTGCGTTTCCCCACTCACTGTTTCCGCTTCAATTCGTTTGATAAACTTTGCCGTTTAGGTCCAAACCGGCCCGCTTTATTTAATTTGTAATAATTTTGAGGATGAATGAATCACATTAACAATGTGGCCTTTTATAATGCAAATTGAAGTGTGTGGTGTATGTGTGCTTGTTGTTCCAATGTTTTAGAACGTTAGATGGCGTTAGACTGAGTATGGGTAATGATATGTTTTAGCCCGTTGAGATTCTTGTGAAAATAGTTTCTGACGTAAAAATATGTTTATGCACCAAAAACATGCATAAAAAACATTTTTCTTCAAGTTAGTCATCCTGAGTGACTTTTTCCCCACTTTCTTTTCTCCCTTGACCTTTTATTAAAGAGATAGATTTTTTTTAAAAGTGGGGTTTTGTATGAGAGTTATGACCAGTTAATATCTTACCCATTGTAGATTTAAATGATCTCAGTTTGGAGAAATTGTTTAATTCTGACTGGATTGTTTGCTGCTCTCAGTGCTGTTTGCACTTACATATGATAGAATTTAATAAAAAAAAGTAATGTAAAAGTGAAACTGGGCGTGATGAGGTAAAAAATGTTTTTCTAGGAAAAGCTATGAAAATTTTCAGATTTGATGTTTTGAGAGTGCAGAAAGCTTATTCTTCAAAGTTTMTTCAGAGCTATCTACAGCAGGTAAGATAGCGATTGTTCACAACCTGTCTCAAAAAGAACTGAACTACCACTTTAAACCTCTAGCTGTTCATTTGAAATAAATTTAGGAAAAGAGAGAGGGAAAACTTTAAACCTGTTTGCCAGCTTAAAGCACTCTGCAGCCAGGTGGATCTTTTCAGGGACTGAACACCTTGCTAATGGGATATTTCACCAAAGCAGTAAAATTCTTGCGGACATAATAACCACTCCTGTGACACGTACTGCAATTTTCTGTCTATATATWTTTTTCTGAACAAACCAAACGTCTACTTTGTAAAGCTAAAAATTACAGTAGCATTCTAACAAGGTAGCTGTTTACCAACTAAATATGGGCTCAGTTGCAGCCAGAAAATGGTAATAAATAGTAAAAAACAGAAGTGTTCACTTAATTCAAGAAAACAACCATTTCACTAGTATGTTTAGTATATTTTCTTTCTCTGTGAGCTACAAAATACACTTGCACAGCASAACCGAGCCCTGCTAAAATTAAAAAGAAAAAAAAAAGAAGGGACTCTCATACTTGAATCAACAACTTAATCAACATCAGCTGCTTAGGCTCCTACCTGCAGGTGCTACACAAGCTATGAACAGAGTCTGAAGCRTTTAGAAAATGTTAGTGACAATTTATCTTTTTGTTATTTTGCAGTATTAATGTTTTTGCCCACACAGGTCAAAAAGAAGAAGTCATCTTTTAATCTAATTTAATGTGCAGATTGTGCAGTCTGACATTGTCTCCAGTTTTGTAACGTTTGTATGTCCTCAACTTGAAATCTGAATTTATAAGTGCACTTGGTTGTTCCTTCGTCCTGCTGTAATCTAGTTGCCTTTTTACCTCCATTCTCATGTATTAGCTCTCTTTTCTTGCTTTATTTTGAGATGACACAAAGTTTTCACTTTTTTTTTCCTGTCATGCGTGTCTCTGTTGTAAATAGAATGTAAACAAAATACTAATGCTGAATAAAAATGGCACATTTTGTTTGCAGAGTTGATGGGATTTTATTTTTGGTTTGCTTTAGAATGTTTTTTTTGTCTTTGTGAAGGCTGCTTCGCTGTGGCAGCCATCTTGAATAGGATTGACTTCAACAGYTGGTTGAAGGTAAATCCAGAGGTGACTTTCCGAAAGTCTCGTTGAAATCTGTCTTCTAGTTCATTAGAAAGATTCAGCTTCAGCAGCAGGTGATGAAAATGATTTTCTGTGGCCGTTACGGTCAGCAAACCCAACTCTCAGATGCTCAAACGTCTCATCCAATCAGAGATCTTTATGGATTTTCAAGCATGCCCGTTCACTAAAACTTCAAATTAAAACACGACAAACTTCATTTCAACACAACACAGCCTCACAAATTGTTAACAGAGGCGAGTGAAGTGCATCGGTTTGCACAGGACTCTTGTTCAGTTACTAAGCTGGAAGTTAAACACGCCTTCCTATTGATTTTTCTGTCTTCTTCATGGATTTTCTCTCTGCCTTCATGCCAGCGAGTGTCTGTAATTTCAATCAGGACAAACGGAGACCCGACTGTTGTCTTTTCGTGCAGGCGGCTCTTGACATCAAAACCTAAAGATTCACGTTTTGTTCACACATTTTGGTTCGCTTGCATAACCCGACATTTATCTTTACTCAAAATGAAACAMTGTTATTGGATACTTTTGAGATTTTTTATGTTTGAATCACCAAAATTTCATCAAATGTCCTAAATGTCTTAGTTTTTTGGCAGTATGTTGCTGCTGCCGGTCTACCAGTTTGATTAGGGATGTATAGGCTTTCTGTCAGGAATAGTTACCAGGCGGCAGGAGGCTTTTGCAGGTATCAAATGGTCGAATCATCTAAAGTAGCCGACTACACACACATGCACACACACACACAAGTCAGGCGGATAGATTGGGCTATCTAATGCTGTTCGTGCTGAGTGAGGTTGGGGTAACAAAACACCCTGCCTGGTACCCTACTTCACTCAGTGGCTCTGTTAATTATTCACTCTGCCTGCAGGGCCCGGCAGACGTCGCTCGCACGCACACACACATACACACACACTCAAAAGCATCTGCAGTATGTTTAATTTAGGYTTTTGAAGTTGTTTTCTTTTGTTCCTGCTGGTGGCCAAATCAGACATTGTTCTGTTAACCAAGACAAAAAAAAGGTGGGTTGAGGTGGTGATGGGGGGACTCCTGAAGAGAAATGTGATATCACAGAAAACACAGAGGGCATCATTCATGACATCCTTCACTCATTCTTAGCCACAACGCCCTCCTCACATCTTGTAAGTGCCTATTATCTACTTTCCCTCCCCGYCCCRCAGGCGAAACCTGAAGCAATTAAACTCATTGTGTTGAACTAAGTGAGCTCATCACCACAGGGTACAAAGTCCTCACTCCCCGCAGAAGATCTGAGTCATGGATTTGCCAATAGTTTAGGAAGAGGGAGGATGCTAATCCTTTAGCGGGATGCTGGACCCGGTCTCTCTGTGTGTGTCTTAGTGTGTGTGTGTAAGAGTGCGTTAACATCTGAGGGTGTGTGCCCGTTGTTGAAATTGTTGACTTGGCTTGTATGAGCCTCTGTGAAAGATGGTTTACCTTCTGTGCTTATTCATCTCTGTTGCAGCGTATCCCAGCTCCACTCATAGATCTGCCCTGAAGCGCATCATATTTCTTCTAAATGGTTTTGTCAGCACCAAAAGACTTGTGCAGCACTAAAGTGACCATAATGTGTCATCAGAAAAAGGGACGCTTTATTTCAAGAAACAAAAATTAAAACAACAAAGCTTGCTTGGTTGTATTTAAAGTGATAGTCTGTCGATTAGTAGCCAATCGTTTGTAAAATGTTTAATCAACCATGACTTTAAGTACACACATTCTGTCTCTCTTCGTTTTAGGCTTAGAAAAATGTTGCTTTTTGTTTGCCCGATCTATTTGCAAGGATGCTATCGCAGACTGAGTGAGAAGATCTCCACTTTACCTCCATATTCTCAAGCTGTCTTATCACTTTGAGGTTTTCAATCACAGCAGTACTTTCATTAAGCACGTGTGTTCGCAAGATGAATACAAAATACTTATTAGTCCTTTTGCTTTGAAAATGTCAAAAGAGTAAATTATTTTTTTACGATTTGAATGTTTGTGGTAAGCTTGGCAATGCACCTTTAGCTGCTGTCCATCCTGCAGCCTTAGTGCCTTTTGCACAAATGGACGGTTCAGTCAGACAATTGCCAATGGGCGTGCATGTTTACCCACCCCACTCCTCTCAGCTTCAGTTGTGGTTTACTAAAGYTCAAATGTTTGTTGACTGTTTGCAGACTTTTCAGCTTAATATGACACTCAGGGTATGGCTGGAGCTCTGATATGCCTTGAATATTTTTATTTTAGCATCATATTCATTTCTGGGTAGAGTTTGCATGTCAGTGAGAGAGTGAAGGGAAGTTTGTCTCATTTATCTGTGTGTGACCCTGTGGTGGACTTGTGCACTCGGCCCCTTGCACAGTGACTGCTGGACCCTTGTGACCCTCAGAAGGAAGAAGCGGGTATACGTAGATAACGGATGGATATTCAGACAAACAAGTTTGGTATTCTGGCTTTGGGGGAACCAAGTACATTTTAAAAGGGCCATACGTGTGGATATAGTGTTGAATAAGCCTGGTGTTGAGGCATAATATTTACAAATAACACTGGCATTTAGGAACAATGATAAARCCAACTATACAGTTCATTTAATTATTCATTAATTAAGTCATTAATAAAAACGTTTTTTGTCTGCAACATTAATGTAAATATCTGAATCAGTTTACACTTGATTTTAAAAAGTACAAACAGCTGTATTTTCTCAAAACTAGATTTATGAGTTTTAAATAATAGTAATAAAAAAGCCATCTTTCTTTAAACAGAAATAAACTTGTATTTTTCCTGTACTTTGCTTTCTGACTAATCTCTTTGGACTGAGGTGCGACAGCTCATCCTTTGTGTACTTTGATCCRAATGCCACCAAATATTTGCCATGCCACAGCGAGCTCAGACTTTGTGTACTCCTGCTGATATTCAAATACAAACACACAAGGGTCTGTTGTTATGATTATTATCGGGAAGGCTCATTGTTTTGTTTGAATGCTTTGCTCGCCCAGATGCATGTGTGGGGTTTCTTTCCCAGGTAGCTCTGGTTTCCTCCTGCAGCTGAAAGTTAGGTTAAAGTTCAGATTTTTAGAGGTGGGGTTACTTGGAAAAGGTATAACGCTAACATCTTATCTGCTGTAGCTCTTTGAACAATCTTACCTTGGTGAAAAGAATTGGTT